CTCCATCCGTTTGGCGCACTGCTGCTCGTGCGTCTGCAGTTTGTCGCGCCGCTCGAAGCCGGTCTGGCAGACCGAGCACCTGTCGGCAACGGCCGTGGTCAGACTGGGTCAGAGCCGGGCGGCAGGGGTCACAGCAGGTCAGGACCGGGGCAGCCGGGGTCAGAGCACGTCGGAGCGGGCCGTCGACGTCAAACCGCGTCGAGGCCAGGCGGCCTGGGTCACAGCAGGTCAGGACCGGGGCGGCCGGGGTCAGAGCACGTCGGAGCGGACCGTCGGCGTCAGACCGCGTCAAGGCCAGGCGGCCTGGGTCACAACAGGTCAGAGCCGGGGCGGCCGGGGTCAGAGCAGGACATGGATGAAATCCATGGACATCACACGCAACATGCAACAACGGTTTTGTTCGTTGGCCTCGCCTTCTTCACATATTCCCATATTCAATCCCACCGTTAAACTTCTTCCCGACACCAGGTCATGGCGAAGTAGGCTTCGTTTGTTTTACTCAGGAATTTCGGCCGCGCTGTACCGATTTTGCCGAAGGTACGCTTACTCTCATCCTACATGTGCCGTCCCAATGCGGACCACCGTACATTGGCTTCGATTACCCTTGTGTAGCTTGCTAAATAAACAGAAAACATATCAGGTGACGAACGTGCGTGCAGTTCAATGCGTGTAGCTCGCATGATAGAGTTAAACATTTATCGGACATTGCAGCATGCTACTGAACATAGCCCAATACCTCCCCCCCCCCCCCCCTCTGCCTTAAAACAGCACAGTGGTGCAACAAGTGATGTTAAGTATGGGGAATATGGAAGATACAAAAGGGACACTAAAGCCTTGGCGTAAGATTCTGAGGGGGCTTCAAGTTTCCAACAACAACTCGCCCTATCTCTGAAGTGGGGAAAATCCCTGCTGATGGATGAGTTTTGAAGGTGGGAGAAGCGGCGATGCCCAAACATTCCCGACCAGAACAGCTCTGGAACGCAACAGCGAACTAGAATGTGGATAACACCCAGCCAAGATGCGTAATAACACCGACAGTGGTGGTGCTCCTAAAAAAATGTTCAATTTGTACTTCCCATGAGCATGGGCTACTTCACACAAAATCTAATGACATGTAACACATTGCATGCATGCATGCACGCACGCACGCACGCACGCACGCACGCATCGGTTCTGAGTAATTCTAGCTGACCAGCAGGCACTCCATCAGCGTTATCTCTTCTTTGAAACACAGGCCGGCTATTTAGGGAACATGATAAGAGCGCACAAATTACTGACATTTCGACGAAAGATCACATCAAGCATGATCTTTAGTGAGACAAACGGCCTGAACTTCTGAGCAAGCCACGCGATGAAGGGAATATGACCGATCAGGTCGGTGACATTTGAAATATCTGAGCCATTTATAATGTTGGGTTAAATGATAGCATGATGCCAAGACATGACCGATCATGTCAGCCACACTGGAAACGTTAACGGTACTTTTATAGCAGGTATTTTATCTGCCGTACGCTCTGTCGCATTCTTCATCTGGACACACTGTCCCATGCTCTAGCGTGCCACTTTAAGCAATCTATAGAATACAATCGAGTGTCCATTTATCGCTCAGGGTACGGCCCAACACGATACCAGTTTACGGAGCCCGGAAAACTGCTGAAAAACCGCTGTAGTGATCAATTACGACATCGCCTAAGAACTCTTTGACCCTCTAATTAAAAGTTAAAAACCTTTCAGAGCAAACAAACACCAGGCTAACATATCACAAACTCCACTCATACACGAGATTGCGTGCTTAGATTTCCGAGCTACGGAGCACTTCCCCGAAAACTTATTTCCTCGCAAAACATGCAAATTGGGCACGAATATATAATCAGCGATTTTCACCAATGAACCGTATCTCCGAACGCCCCGGGACATTCATCAGGCCACAAACGCGAAATTCCCCATTGGCGGCGCTCAAACGGACCAGTTTCGGGCGCCGGCGGCCGGCGCTCGCCGCGCCAAATGCGGTGGCGCGCCGGCGGCGGCCGAACCGTTTCGGCTCGTTTATTTCGCCTTTCAGCGCGGCAATTAATCGGCCGGCGCCGGTGAGCGGCCGCCCGCGACCCGTCGGCCGGACATCGGTCAGCGGAGCCGATAAGCCGGCCGGTCCATGAGCGGCCCACTCGGCCGCGCCGGCGGCACCACCGCGCCGGCCGGCTCCCCGGCGCCGGCGCCGGCGCTGATCACGACCGCCGGCCGGCTTAAAAAGCGGCGCCCTCCCGCCGTACTTTACCAACTCATTAGAAGGGGAAATTATCGGAGCGCGGGCGGGCGGTCGACCGGTCGTACAACGATAAATCGCCCACGTAATCGGACGGACGGCGCGCCGCGTCTGAGCGCCGTCGGGAGGGCGTCGCCGCGGGATCCGTGACGCACCGAAGCCATGCATACTCCGGGGAGCCACACACAAGTCGGGAACCGCACGTCCCACACAGGTGACCAAACACACACGTGAATGTGTACACGGGCGCGGGGTTTCGCTGTGATTGTGTTGGGCGGACGGAGGGATCAGGCTATTGTCTTCAACTTGCGCGTCACCTCATACGCCGGGTGGTCAACAACAGCTGCGGCGAACTAAACTGACATGGACAAATTACCTCGCCGCAAAAACTCCATTATAGTTGCTATTTAAACAAAGGGTCACCAGGTGGCTGTTTCTTTACCGCATGTATTAACTCCCACATCCCACAGTGCCTCAGACGTGCGCCACGGGCGCAGGCCCGAACACGCCTCGGTCAGTGCAGTTGGCTCCGCGATACGGTAATTTTTGTATTGCCCCTATACTACGAACAGAAGTTGTATACCACTTTTGTATAACAGATACGGAACAGGTTCGTGTGTCCACAACCTCGATGTTGTATAACTCTCCAAGACGTGTCCGCAGGTACAGGAACAGTAGGTGTGTGACCGAGCATCCAGGCACCATTCCACGTGTAAGTGGCTCTCGGGGGCCTCATTCATTCACTACACGCCTCTCCCTTGTGAAAATTTATCTCAACATTCACCTGAGGCATTCGTCTGAAAGAACACCACAATTGTTCCGGGGTCCGCGGTCAAGTCAGCTGGCCGGCGCCGTGAGCTGATCTCGGGAGCGGCCAACGGCACCGGCGCCCGACAGCCAGCCCGGCGCCGACGCCCGACAGCCAGCCCGGCGCCGAACGCCCGACAACCAGCCCGGCGCCGCGCCCGACAGCCAGCCCGGCGCGGCGCCGACAGCCAGCCCCGGCGCCGGCGCCCGACAGCCAGCCCGGCCCGGCGCCCGACAGCCGGTCCCGGCGTGGCGCCCGACAGCCAGTCCGGCGCCGGTTGCTCGACAGCCAGCCCCGGTGCCCGACAGCCAGTACCGGGCGGTGCCCGACAGCAGTTCCCGGGCCGGCGCCCGACAGCCAGTCCTGGGGCCGGCGCCCGACAGCCAGCCCGGCCGGCGCCCGACAGCCAGTCCGGCGCCGGCGCCCGACAGCCAGTCCTGGGGCCGGTGCCCGACAGCCAGCCCCGGTGCCCGACAGCCAGTACCGGGGCCGGTGCCCGACAGCCACTTCCCGGGCCGGTGCCCGACAGCCAGCTCCAGGGCCGGTGCCCGACAGCCAGCCTCGGCGCCGGCCCGCCGCCCCGAGCACCCACCTGAAGCGACGCTCGCCGGTGTGCAGGCGTAGGTGGCAGTCGAAGTTGTACTTGTAGGCGAAGTCCTTGCCGCAGTACTCGCCTGGCAACGGAGCGGCGCGCGTTAGACAGGGACACGCGTCTGGCCCCGACAAGGACACGCGGACATTCGGAACGTCAGGCGCGCGCCGACACACGCACCACCACCCGCCATAACTGGCCGTGCAGCCGACAGACAAACACTGCTCGCTGATGGCAGCGGAACGCTCTGGACCGCTGACGTATGGTCGGTGTAATGACCAAGCGTGCACAGTAACGAGTGGGGAGGCTCTCAACCGACACACGGTGGTCTGCGTCGCGACAGTGCGACACGTGCTAAAGGGGCGGAGGGAGCAAGCAGCTCCTTCTGCACGAGCAGCGTATCACTCAGGCACTGCTCCCAGGGCTTTCAGCCGGAGCCGGGCGGCGACGCGTCGCACTGAGGCAGGCATGGCTCGGCGGGAGACTCGGACCTCGCCGGCAGTGGGCTCCGGCCGGCGCCGCCCGCGGCGAGTCCGGCACGGCGCGGGCCGGCCGCTGCCGACGCACGTCAGCGCGTCGCGCCGCAGCCCGCCGGACGCCGCTCACGAGCGCGGGAGGTCCGATCGGCATCGATCGGCGCGCCGCCGGCGGTCATTAAGCCGCGGGCGGCACTCGACGGACGCGGCGGGCTGCCCCGGCCCGACAAAAACGGCGGCCGTCGCGCCCGATCACGTGGCGTTCGACACGCCCAAACACCGGCGGCCGACGCTGGCGGCGCCGGAGCCGCGGCGCCGCCTGCCAGCCGACTGGGACGGGCCACCGCCGTCGTAACGTGCCCAGCTCGGACGGGCACGGAGGGGTGGCGAGGTTTGGCGCCAGCCGCTGGTTCCACAGGCCCCCAAGTGGGATAGGGACAAGCACGAGTATCTAGTTTGGAAAATGCATTCGAACTGCCCCGGTCTTCCGCGCGCGCCCCCCGTTGGAAGACACGGCCAATTTTACGCTTTGTGTGTGCTCCTCACAGCAGGCGAGATAGAGACACCACAGGCACTAAGCTGAACAATGGCAGCAATCCCCGCCGTCGCCTTCAGCAAATGCCGCCCGCGACATTGATGGCAGACCTCAGCTGTGTCCATTTCCGACACGACGCGACCCGTGCCGCTCGCGGGCTACGGCCGAAGCTGGACGCTGCCGCCCCCTGTCCCGACAGCCGGCCCGGCGCGGCCAGCCCGCCGCCCGGCTCGGCAAGCCCCTCGCGGGCTACAGCCGGAGCTGGACGCTGCCGCCCCCTGTCCTGACAGCTGGCCCGGCGCGGCCAGCCCGCCGCCCGGCTCGGCCAGCCCCTCGCGGGCTACAGCCGGAGCTGGACGCTGTCGCCCCCTGTCCCGACAGCCGGCCCGGCGCGGCCAGCCCGTCGCCCGGCTCGGCGGCCGTACTCACACTTGAAGGGCTTCTCGCCGGTGTGCTTGCGCTGGTGGATGCGCAGCTTGGCCGCGCTGCGCAGCGCGATGCCGCACTGGCCGCAGGCGAACGGCCGCTCGCCGGTGTGGATCTGGGCGGAGGTGCGGTGTCAGCACTCGGGCATCGACGGCGGGGGACCGGCACGCACGCACGTACGCACGCACGCACGCACGCACGCACGCCCAACCACGGCAGGACATAAGCGAGATGGCGGTACCGCGACACCGACAGCCAACACCGATGCCGTGCCGGCAACGCTGCGGCGGTCACTGCATCGACAACGACGGGGCCGAGCAGGAGCCAAACAGTGTGGCCTGCAATGAGCAGACTGGAAATTGGTACCAGTGCGGGCACATGCATGCGCATGTAGGTTTGCACATGCATGCGGCACATGCATGTGCAAACCCACTCTCCAAACATCCGCCCGGGCCGGTCTCAGTGACAGATTTTTGGAAAATACTGCCCTCGCGATCAGCATACAACGATCACCGTCAGCAGACTCGAGGAGCATCATCGCTCACACCAGGTGAACATGCATGGATCATGTCCGGCAAACAGCACCGCCAGCCGGCAATCGGTTGACGCCCCGAGGGACGACCATGTCCTCGGCACGTCCACCGCGCTTCAATCCGCCAGAAGCGCCGAGCGGCAGTCTGTGGCACGCGCCACCTGGTGCGGACGGCAAGCCCGTACACCAGGGGCTCACGCTGGCGTGGTCTCCACCGCGACGGTGGGGACGCGCCGTCCACAGCGCCGCGCAGATGGCGCTGCGGTCGCCGACGGGCCGGACCCTGGACCCAGCGGCACTGACCTGCCGGTGGAACTTGAGACCGTTCGCCTCCCTGAAGCGCTTCCCGCAGTACTCGCACACGTGCTTCATATCCCCTGCCGCAGGGAGGTCACAGGTCAGACGCCCGGAAGTGGGGCGCAGCGCGAGGTCACAGGATCTACCCCGAGCTGACAGCCCAGCCCAGGTGACCAGCACGGAAACTAGCCGCCGCAGCCCCGCGAACAAAGCAAACGTCGCCGCATTGGCACTGACGACGGAAGGACCGCGCAACCACGGTCATGGGTGTACAGGCTCCGCGCGAAAACACTGCAGCTAACCGGAGCAGCGACTGCGCACACCGCAGCTGGCGCCGCCGCGCGGCGTCCGTCTGTGTGACCCTGCGCCGCCCGGCACCCCGGTAGCGGTCGACTCCGCGACCCGGCGGCGCCGACGCCACTGACCGTTGTGGTAGCGCATGTGCCGATTCAGCTCGCACTTCTGGTTGAACTCCTTGTCACACAGCGTGCACTTGAACTGGCGCACGCCCGTGTGCAGGGCCAGGTGAGTGTTGAGGTATTTGCGCAGCTTGAACCTGCGGGGCAGAGCAAGGCTGGTGTCACGCGGGCTATGACGCGAGGTTCATGGTTTGAGGATGCCAATTGAACAGCAAAAATACTTAGCATTGACGGTGACAATACTTAATAGCCCAAAGTACGTATTTGGCGTTCTAATCCAAGCTAAATTTGCAGTAGTTAGTCACATGTTTAACTATGAAGACTGGCTTCAGACTACGCAGCTAATTGGTAACGGCCGGGTCCCAAGGTAACGAACACCCAGCTTCTCAAGCATCCAAGCAAATACTGCCGGACCAGGTAGTATCGCCAGCCCTGCACTGCTGTATCTACTGGGAAGCCCATCGGCACTGGTGGAGCGCACGAGTCACTGATATGGAAGAGCGACCTCAACACGAGTCCACAGCTCTAGCCAAGGGCCGAGCCGCACTCAGTAATTTGCCTACACAACCCCTGCAGGGATTCCCCGCTCGGAGAGAGCGTGCTCACGCGAGGGAAGTAGCCGGCAGCGGGTGGAGCGCCGCCGGCACTCACCGGCGTCCGCAGACGGAGCACTTGTGCGCGTGCACGTCCGAGTGCAGCACCATGTGGTTCTTGAGGTTGGTGAGCGACGTGAGCTCCTTGCCGCAGATGGGACAGCCCGTGTCGGGCGTCTCGGGGGGCGCGTCCTTGCGCGGCCGGCCGCGGCGGCCCAGCCGGTGACTGCGCACCGCCGCCACGATCGCCTCCTCGCCGCTGGGGTCGCGCGCCGCCGCCTCCGCCGCCGACGTGTGCTCGTGCGCCGCCAGCTGCGCCGGGTTGAACGTGCGGAACTCGCACAGCTCGCACGCCAGCTCGCGCAGCGTCGAGTGGAACAGCGCGTGCAGCTTGAAGTGGTCGAGCCGGAGGTAGCGGCAGCCGCAGAGCAGGCAGGCCACCTCACCTGCCACCGAGGGTACGCCGAGCACGTTATGAGGTTGGAAACCGCTTGCGCGAGAAATACACGAGCTCTAGGCGATGATGCAACAGTCCTTTTCGTGTCGGATGACTTAACCCTCCGGCACGCATTTTCTGGTCAGGGGGCCAGCCTTCTGTCTAGGTCTCCTATCCTCCAGCTTTATCGGCAGAAACCCGTCCCCAGCCCAAACCTGGCCCGAGCAAACTCATCCTCAGCAAACTCGTCCCCAGTTAACCCGTCCCCAGCTAAAGCGACAGTGCATCGAAGCAGACCATTCGATCAGACCGCCAACTGCTTCACATTAGTGAGCGGTCTCATCTGTCCCTCTCAACAACCGACAACCGACAACCGACAACCAACAACCGACAAACGACAGACGACAACCCACAACGTGCCGGCCGCTCTGCCTGGCACGGCCGCGCCGGTGGCGCCTCGCAGCGGGCCTCACCGGAGCCGTGCGACTCGGTGAGGTGGCGCTCCATGGCGTCGTGGTCGGCGCAGTCCTGGCGACAGGCCAGGCACGAGCGCCGGTACCGGCCGGGGAAGAGGCGCAGCGCGCCGGCCAGGTCGAACCGGCGGCCGCACGGGCACGTCACCACGCGGTCCTTCTCGTTGTCGCGCAGCGTGTGTGACTGCGAGCAGTCCGGGCAGCAGAACTGGATGGCGAAGTCGCCGACGTCGACGGTGGCCGGGTCGGTGGCGGCCGGCGGCGGCGGCGGCGAGCCGCGCGCGCCGTGCAGGTACAGCTGACGGTGCAGCATCAGGTCGGCCCGCTTGACGAACTGCTCGCCACACGGCTGAGGGCGGACGGCGGCGCACGGTCGGCGGGTGGCGATTACGGCGTCAGAGGGCACAGGAGCGTCTAAACTCGGGGCCGGTTCGCACGGCTATAACAACCCCCATAACAACTCTGCGTTGCTGGTTTGCGCTAAGTTGGAATTCCAGACATCTGCATTCTGATCATCAGTTATTAAGGTTGCAGTAAATGAGTGAGACAAATTTCCCGTCTACAAAACGTATTAGCATACCACAAGACCAACGACCAGACTGCAAGGTTTCCACCGCACAGAGACGTTGCAACAAAACCGGCCCCACGCTGCTGACCTCGCAGCGGAACTTCTTGATGAAGTGGTGGTGCTGGTTCATGTGTCGCTTGAGCGAGTCCTCGTAGGTGAAGCGCTTCTGGCAGACCTCGCACTGGTGAGCCTTCTCGCCGTCGTGCACGGCGGCGATGTGCGCCCGCAGTGCCTCCCGGTCAAACGTGTAGAACGGACACTGCGAGCACACCAGGTTCTTCGACTTCTCAATCTTCTTGTCGCTGACGGCGGCGGACTTGGCGCGCCGCAGCCCCGGCGACTTGGTGGATGCCTGCCGGTGGAGGCGTCCAGTTCGGCCGACGGAAAACGACACGGCGCTGCCCCATGGCCGTGATTGTGACGATCTGCCTGGCGATTCGCTCGTGAACGACACGATCTGATAGCGTACCTACGCCCATCAACATGTATGTGAAAATCTGGACGAATTCCCGATTCAGACAGGTCACACACACTCCAAACACGTATGTGCCTGCTTGTGTCACATTTATAGGCACAGATGGATCACAGAAAACAAGAATGCATGTCTACGTTTTCGCAGTAAGGCCCTGCATCATTGGTGCAACCGCGGCGTGTACAGGCGCACCGGTCGGTTCAAAAGTCGTCCAGCGGGGTGTGCACGAGGTACATATTAATTCAAGCCAGCCGAAATTTTGACTCTCTGTAGTCTGCACGCACAGTTGGCTGGCTAATTTGTTGCTTTTGACACCAAACCCTGAAACATGACCAGCCCGGCCGATTCCCTAAGCCCGAGGCGTCTAGATGCTGCGCTGACCACCGCCCAGCTCGATACCGGTTGGCCGATCTTGACTAAGGGTGAAAGGAAGTGACCGGCCGTGAACCCCGAGCCGAGGATGCCATAGCATGAGAAGAAAGAAAACTATCCCCGGCACCAAGCGGCCAAATACTGATATTGGAGCACTGAGCGCATGTGCCCGCTGGTCGTGCCAGGGCGTGGCCAACGCCTTGGCACGGCCAGCGGGTGCGGATGTCGAGCCAAGGCGTGGCCACATCCTGGCTCGCCCCTCCCCTCCCACCAGCGCGGCGCCGCCGGCCCGTACCGCGCTCCTGGTCTTCCGGCGTCGGTTGGGCCGGTACTCGTCGTCGGCCGGGTCGGCGGCCGGCTGCGTCGGGTCGGCCGCCTCGGTCGGCAGCGGGCGGCGGGCGGCGGCGCGGCGCGTGCTGCGCCGGCGCCGCTCGGCCGGCACCGCCGCGTCCTCTGCGCTCGAACACCACCACGCGCGGAACTGGCTGCGCACGCTGTTCTTCATGGCAGCCACGCGCTGCTCCAGGTCGTCAATGGTGACCAGCAAGTCGTGGCAGTTGAGGCAGACGAGCTGGAGCTGCGCCAGCGCGCCTTCCTCCAGCTGCTCGCCCAGCACGCCGCCGACGAATGTCAGGTAGGCGGCGCCGCTGGCCGGCAGCGGCTCGGCACCGCGCAGCGGCCGCCAGCCGCGGCCCTCGGCCGCAACGCCGCACACCAGACACGTCTCTGAGAGGTCGCGGGCGGCTGCAGTGACTGGCGGCGGCGGTGACGACGGCGTGGGCGTGGCGACGGCCGGCACCGGGCCTCCCAGGCCGGGCTCTTTGCAGCCGGCGGCCGACGCTGGCGCCTGCGCTGGATCCGCCGGCTCCGGCGCTGGCCCCGGCTCCGGTTCCGTCCCCAGCTGGAGCTGTGTCTGCGCCCGCGGCTCCTGCTCCGGCGGCCGCTTCTGCGACGGCGGCGGCAGCGGCTTGGCCGTCTCGTCCGCCTTGCGCAGGTAGCCCATGAGGATGGAGCAGTTGAGCGCGGCGGACGGCGCCAGCTGCAGCGGCAGCGCGTCGCTGTCCAGGTACGCCACGTCGGCCAGCTCCAGCTCCTGGCGCTTCACGCCCAGCGGCGGGCTGGCCAGCAGGAAGCCGTGCAGCTGGGCAGGGCTGAGCGCCTTCAGGCCGTCGGCGGCGCAGTCGAGCGCCGGCTCTAGCGGGCCCGGCTCGGCGTCAGCCGTCAGCCGTGACGAGCACGGCCCACCTGTGTCCTCCATGCTACTGCACCCTGCTGCGACAGCCACACCAAGTCAGCACAGGCTCCACGGACGACACCGCATGCTGCGTTAATGGGAATTTCCTCCTACTGTTTGTGCATGCTGGAAGCAATCATGGCTGAGGTTCAGTTGATGGCGACTCTCACCATGAACAACAACCATGCAGGGCTTAAAATCCCCTTGTTATGATAAGTGGTACAAAGGAGGGCATACATATTTCCTAACTGCAGTTATTCATTTCAGATGTCTTTGCTCATGTTTGTGACAACTTTCCCAATGGGTTCCTATCTCTCACAAGGCATCAATAATAAAACAGAAGGCAACACATATTTCCTATTGTGATTTGGATTTGTATGATCAAAAGGAGGCCAGCATAACCTCACAGATGGTGAGGCATACTTGCAGTTCTGTCTATTTCTGCATATGTTGCAGTATGCAAATCTTGTGTGCAAGTCAAATGGGTGACATTCAAGATGCAACTACATGCAGGATAGAATGTATCAAAATGCAAATATCTGCTTGCCCACATATTTGTGTATGATGAACAGTCCTGGGTTTTATTGCTGTGCTTGGTTGCTAGTTGAAAGGCTGTGCAGTCTGGTTCAGCAAGCATGGATCAGCAGTGTCAAGGCACATCACTATCAAATACAACAAGCATAGATCAGCAGTGCCATGGCACATCACTATCAAATACAGCAAGCCTGGACAAGCAGTGTCATGGCACATTGCTATTAAATACAACAAGCATGGATCAGCAATGTTGAAGCACATCACTGTCAAATACAACCAGCATGGATCAGCAGTGTCATGGCACATCACTATCAATTACTGTCACTGTTGGAAAAGGAGTTCCTGAAGAGGCGCAACTTGGAGGTGACAAGAGGACATCAATAGAAGCTAAAAAACCTGGAGCTCGAACTCTTGTCCATCGTAAGTCGTTCAGCACGCTGGTTGTCAATGACTGGCCTGTTGCCAATGACTGGAATGCTCTTCCGCACCCGGGTCGTGTTGTCGACCTCAGTCAAACGGTTCAAGTCTATGCTTGATATGTATTGAGCTGACATCAAGTAAGACGTCCCCCACTGATTCTTCCGATAATTTGAGACTGTTTGGTTATGGGACCAGGAGCCTGGCAAGGCAGGGACCTACAGGCCTAGTGGCCTTTTATCATTCCTGATCACCATAAGGTAAGGTAATTGCAGCAGCCATGGATCAGTGGTGTCATGGCACATCACTCTCAGTTTGATGCTGATCTATTGGCTGCAAGGTTGAATTCCTCCCTTAAGATTGAGCTCATTTACTATAAGCACCTGTGTCTATGTCTTTGAAATCACATGGCACAATAATCTATAAGCCACACAAACTCCCAAATTATTATTAAAGCAATGAAACCTTTTCTAGCAAGGTTATTTGCATGGCACCTTTGATCTTGGACAGGTGGAATGTAGGTTAAGTCTATATGCATAAGCTTGCCAGTAATTGGCAAACTTTTTTTTTTTGAATGTATAAGCCAAAGCTTTCCAAATAGCAGTGTTTTGCCCAAATAATGAAGCTTGCTGTTTTCTTGATGTAGGATTAAGGCAGCCTAAAGCATCTTGCTGCCATCCATTATCCCGCATATTTTACAAGACACGCACATGAACACATAGACAATAAGCTGTACTACAAGCTAGTATACTGAACTGTTGGAACTTATGGTCAAACCATAGTGTTAGACATGAATACTGGCTGTATGTTTGCTGATAGTCAGGATTTGTCTGACACAAACTGATGGATGCAGGCTCTGCAGTGCTCAAACATTGCAGCATTGCCTAGTGGCATGACAAGCTTTTGATGACAGTAAAACTGATTCAGCTCATTTCTTATTGCTTTCAATGGGCATCCTCTTCAAACTAGAGAAATTGTAGCATGCTGTTTATGCTAGGCCAAGATTGGTCAAGGTCACAGGACCACTGAAACAAAACATCCAATAAACTCATCTCACTGCACATGATGGTTCACTGCCCACTGTTCCAAGCTCAACAAGACTTTATCTTATCAGGCCAGCCTTTGATACAGCATGATTGCTGCTTAATGCACACTAGAAGGCATACATTGTGGAGTGTGATGCAGTCTTACACAATGCTTGCCCATCCACAAGTAGCTGATCCCTTTAAATTCCCAGAGAACCATACGCTACTAGCAAAGTGCTGTTGCTGCTAATCCCTAAATGTTTCAAGTATCCTTAAGATCAAGGTGAACAACAGTGGAGACGGATATGAGCTGCGTATCAAACAGCCGGGTGTGCTCCATCCGCACACAGTGACAACCATCATGGAGAGGTGATCTCTCAGATGTACTTTGCGGCAGTATCAGGATAGGAAAACGTCAAAAAGCAGTCGTCGACAAACTTTCGACGTTCTCGCGTGTAATACTTACCAAAACTAGCCAACTACAGCCTCGTACCGCTCAACACTACCCCAGTCGCGATGGCTTCCGACAAAGCACGATTCCAATGCGGCAGTGGAAAACTTGAAATGTTTGTTATGATGTGCCTTAAACTATATGGCGCACAGCGCAACACATCGCCTCATTTTCTGACGTCATGCGTGTTGTTTTTTATGAGGTGCTGTCATCTATATAGCATTTGTTGTTGATGCAAATTAACACTAAATATTAACTGACTATCCAAATATAAACTAAAGTATGATAAAATGTGTATAGGTCATTGTTTTCTAGTGCTCAGTTCTCATATTCTTTGTTTTGAATACCGGTGACATTTTGAGCTAATTTATGCTGGAACCATTATTAGAGTTGAGCTGCCCACTTGGAGAAAACAATAAGCTGATTACTGGTTCGAAATTATTTTCAAAGATATGCTTCTTAAAACATATTTTCCAATGAATAATTTGGCATATGGCTGAACTCAAAACAACCTTCATACTTTTTATTTAAGAAAAAGGACAGTGTTGTTTTCGATCTAATCGTCTTTCGGCGCAGGAGTTCGCCGCGGTGGCCGCTGCCGTTGAAATCTGTCAAAAATGTTCCGAAATTCGATTACTAGAGCTATTATTGTTGGAAAAAGCAGTATTTTGCATGCAGCACCCAGGACAGTGGCAGGTTTGTTCTGCAGACAATCTCAATGTCGGGTGCTTTCGAAAATCTACCGTTTAGTTTCTGGGGTGTGTGTTGTCATGTTTCCGCCGTCTGTCGGCTATCTTCAACCTGTTTTTATTTTAGGTGCCTGTCATCCAATTTTCAATTCTCCATGAGATACCTGGAATTCTTCTCTTACATTTCGTTACTGGTTCATGCACCTGAGTGCACACTTTCTTACCGCCACGCAGGGAATTGCAGGGGAATTCCTATGGTTGGCAAATGATGGGTAATTTGATGCCTGGTTCATCTGCCTGAGATTTTGTAACATTGTTTGTGGCAGATAGGAAAAATATGGCGGGATTTTCTTGAAATTGATGCTATCTATCAGATTAAACTATGTCTGAAGTGACATCTTGAACTTAACACCAAGGATGATTAGGACATGGCAAAGCTGTATCACATTGCCTTCAAAATGAAATGAATCGTAGTGTTCGTCATTGACTGCTGCAAACCATGGTGAATGTGCCAATTGTGTGTTGGGGGAGGGGGGGGGACAAAAATCTTGTCCAGAGTGGAATGGTATATTGGCCTGCTTGGGATATATTTTTAAAACCTGTCCATCAAATAAAGATGATTTGCCATCAAATTGGGTAGTTTGCCATAAACTTGCAATGGCAAGGGCACACATCTGGCAAGTTGCCAGTTGTGTTTATCACAGTGCATATTATGGTCATCATATGCCTCATAATCTTTCCCTTTTCACCAGCACACATTTGTCCTTCCTAATTATGAGACAACTCTGTGCACTCAGATACCAAACTTTCAGAAAGTGAAAGGCAGCAGCAAACTTTTTCCTTGCACCTGTATTTCACTGCATTCTGTGCCATTTCTGCAGCATTCTGAGTATCTGACTGTTAAGCATCATTGTGTGGGAGCAATATTAAGCAGTGATAGTGGAATTGGTGGGACTATAGAAACTATGTTATAATTCAGCTTTGTTGCAGGCATTGACAAAAGCACTGTATAAGGCCTGGTATTTGTGAGTAGATCTGGCAGATACTTACTATGAAGGGCTGGCTTTTTCTATGAAAAGGAGGTAACTCTGCTGCTGCTGCATTGACATTCCTGTTTTGGTCACACAGCATAAAGATATAACCATAAAAGCACTGAGATATCCAGCTAACAACTTGCCACAAGGGCTCACTGTGGTTGGCCTGTCTCAGGTTCTATACACATTCCTGAAACTCATCACCTGACTTGTACAAAATTAGCTATAAATGAAATCTTAGGATTGCTGGAACATGTCCAAGCAGTTTTTGAATATTGCTTGAGAGGAACTTCCTACAACTTTGTTTGTTAGTCCATTCCAAAGGTTCACTTCCCTTTGACTAGATGGCATCTGCCTCTTCATAGCTGTACTCCTTTCTTTTGCTAACAAAAACTGTTTTTGTATGTGTCTTGGCCTAATTTCCATTGTACCATGTAGCTTGTCTATCCCTTCATACCTTGTTTATCCCCTTCATATTAGTGCATGTAGCAGCTTTACAGCAGTGGTGTTCTGATTTCCCAAGTGTTGTAGTTTTGTATGTAATTTGGAGAGGGGTGAGTAGATGAAATCATTAAATCCAAATAAATGTTAAAGAATGTTTTTTTCCTTGAATTTGACCCAATTTCTTCTTGCAGGGAGGCCATGTAATAAAACCATTTGAATCAATGGGCACATCCATGTGCAGTCCTATCTCCTCATGTCAAGTGTCAAATCAGTAAGGCTCTCCTGTCATAAATCATCTTGACTGTTGGCTTGTGTACTTTTGCCTCAGTTGATATTTGTCTATGCCTAAGTTTTGTCTGTTAAGTTGCTTTTAAAGCACACTTCTATCCCATTAACATATTGTCCCTTGAAATGTTTTCCAGTCCTTGTGGGCCAACTTCTTATCCCTTTCATCTTGTATTTCACCTTCTATTTCTGGCAACTTAATACCTTTTGGACCTTCTATATTTCAACTTTTATGCCAGGCAGCTGTCATCCTTTTCAACAAGCTGTGTTTACCTTCTAATTTCCACATTTCCATTCATTTTTTGGTCTGGGGGGCCATATGATCCAGCTGCAATTGTTCTGTCCACCATAAGGCCTGGTGCCAGCTTTTGATTATCTAATATGCAGGCTTTGCCATGGTTGCTGTGGTACAGTCTCTGATTGGAGCATGTAAAAAACCTTCGCTTATGCGTAGATCTAGGTAACATTGGAATGATTTTTATCAACTTGATAGCAAATTTTTGGGGCATCCAAATAGTTCAGATTTGTTCTTGTTTGCCACTGAAACATTGAATATCACATTTTAACTATTAGGTACTTATCCTGATTTGCTAATGCATAGTGTGGGTCATAGGCAAATGTGTCATACAAACATTGTGACTCATCAAGTGATTTCTGAAGATCTGTAATATTATGCATTGAAGTGAGCTTGTGGTGCCTTGGCAGAAGTCTGTACATATCACATATATTGATGATGGTCCAAATTTGTTCTTTTCAGTTGCAGGATGCAGACACATGTCCAAGGCAGTGGAAAGTGATGAACAACTGACGGCCAGATATGTCCAGTATTTTGAGAGCAAAGACATTGACCACTGGTGGCTTAGTAAGGTAAGCACCAGCTATCATACAAATGTTTGGCATTGACCAATGCCGTGAGTGGTGGGTGAGAGAGGAGTTATCATTCTAGGGTCTTGATGTTGGATACGTCAAAGTGCGCCTTGAAATAGTTCATACCCCATGATCGCCTGCATAGTTTTTAATCCGTGATGCAGATAGTCATCTTTCATATCAAGGCATATATACGGCAGGAGGAATTTAGTTCTAGCTCCTGCCGGAGTGACGCAGACACCTGACGCATTGCTGGTGTCATCAGCACATCAATGACCTGGCCGGAACCGACGCTGTCCCGGAGCCGGACATCATCAAGGCCTGCCTGAAGGCGTGCCGTCGTCTGAACGACATCGCCATGGCCGTCCGCTTCATGGAAATTGTTCACTTCAAGTGTGGCAGCAAGGTCAAGGAGATCTTCCCATATATCCTACAGGTGGGTCTTGGTCGCGCAGGTAGGGTGTGGCAGATGTGCCCATTGACGACGTGGTGAGGCGTGGTTGTCTGAGGGGGTCTTGGCCGCGCCGGGGTGACGGGCATGCTCATGGATGATGTGGTGAAGCGTAGTTGTTTGAGGGGGCTGGAATGGCTTGTCAGGTTTGGTTTGGAACATGCTTGGTCCAAATCAAATTTTGTTCAGGTGGAAATATCAATAGCAAAGCCGCTTTAAATGCTTCATTTCATAAGATGAATATCTAGCAAATGCTGCAAGCATGAAGCTGTGAGAGGTGCATACTGGAAAGTGCGTAGCCCGATAGTATGCAGCACAAGAGGCGCCATGTTGGATTGTACTTCGATCGACTGACTGCCCACGTACGCCGTCAGCTTGTGACGTCACTAGTCTGACCTTGAGGTACTGTCCAATGGGTGTGCGTCCGGATTTGAAAGGTCGTCTTGTATGTTTGCCAGTCAAGATCGAATCAGTATTTGGACACTGTATTTTGTGATTATATCGCGATGCTGTAGTTATGGGATTTTCTTAGAAAAGCACGGAATCATGGCCTCAGCATAAATGTTTTGTTTAGGACCAGTCTGCAAAAGCAGTTGATATGGTGTGATGCGGTAATTATTGAAGTTCTGAGAGAAGCACAGAATCTTGGCCCCAGTAAAAACATCTAAAAGCACATTGTGTATAGAAATGTAAAAGCACCCTAGCTTGACAAAAGCAAATGCATTTAACAGAGATGGACATTTCGTGGTTGGTTAGCGACACGATAGTCGTTCGTTTTGAAACTCTATGGTGTGCATGTCACCTTTAAGGTGGAAAGGGAGGCTAAGTCTCTTTTTGGTGCGTGGGTCCAATTTGTTATGGTGTATGAATGTTGCGAATTTGTGATTGCTGTTTAGGATATTTGGCAAGTTTTCCCGTAAAAACTTGTACGCAGGCTCTATATTTAACGAGTTGGCATTCTCAAATCGTAGCACTTCGTTAATATTGTATACGCAGAAGAAATCAGTGTTTTTTCAAGAGCTGTAGTCTGAAAACCCGTCGAAACATATCGATTTTACGTAACCGTACTCAGTCACATTCAAAGCGTTTCTTTTGGGTACCCTTTCACTCTTTACGCCGCCATGTTACTGCAAAGCTTTGGCAATGCGTGGACTGTGAGGAGCGCAAGAGCGCAGTTTCGCAAAATATGTGACGGTGGAGTCGGAGAAAATTGGATTAATCTGCATTCAAAATACACAAAGTAGTTCCTTAACTACGTAAGATGTTAAGTGCTTTTGCGAGAAACACTATTCGCATATATAAGACAGTGGTAATGACCTTATTCCTCGGAGAAAAACCAGGGGGATGAAGATATAGATGTTTTGATATTTTGTAAACATGCCTTTATCGAAACAATATCACACTTCAGAGTTCAGCTATTTGTAACGCTTCGTTAACTTGGTAGCTGCCGTCCTGTGTTTCCCATCCGAGAAAAGAAACTCCGATATTCTTCTGCCGCGGGCCTTCTATTAACAACATGCCTCCTCCAACGCCAACCAGCGCGAACTCTCCCACGAAAACTTGCCGGACACTCACATCACCTTGGATAGCTCTGCAGACCTCCGCGGAATGTCACGCGCTCACCTTTTGGGCAACATTTTCCCGCTTCGTCTGCCAACCCTGAAACCAGCTGTTCACAAAACCTGAGGCATAAGTGGTGCGCAACAAACTACATCGTCTACCGCACATCACAAACAGCTGACTTCGTTCTTCGTCGAGATGCACCTCACCTAACTGCTAAGCTTGGTCCATAAATTGTTTCCATAAAGGCGTGTTGCCGAAATATCAACGCATCTTTATCTCCATTCTCCTCGCTTTTCTCCGAGGAATAAGACTATTACTACTGTCTTAAGCTAGCTTCTGTCCGAAATTGGTCCACTTTCTTCCCAAAGTCGCGGACCCCTAACTGAACAAGAAATGACAACGCTGGAGGAAGGCCCGCATAACAGCAGTGACCTAGGCTTTAAGGTTTATCGCGCTGTTATGGGAAGAAAAAGTGTCGCAGTGCCAAGGCCCCCTTTTCGGCTTTGAGTGACCTTATCATATGTCCATGTCTTAAAACGAGTGCGTAGTGCGTCGTCGCGCACCTCTACCATGAATTACTAAGAACGCGTACCGTGGATCGCGCGCGTGGATCTGAGGCCCCTGACCACTCGAGTATGTTGGACGTGCGTGGAGCCTGCGGCCTGTCGCTGTGTGCACGGAATCTGGAGTTGAGTGCGTGGTGCGCCGTGCCCCGTCGGCCCGTGCCGGCGCGTGGCCCTGACGTCCCGCTGTTCTCACGCCGGCAGGAAGTTGGCCCGACGCTGGAGGAGCTGGGAGTACCCACGCCGGCCCAGCTAGGCATGGACAAGCCACAGCTGGCGCTAGAGGACGTGTACGACATGTGAGAGTGGGTGGACGCCGCGCTTCAGACTGCGTCGCCCAGCGCCGCACGGGTCCAGGTGGCCGAGTGTAAATGACTGTGTGTACCGGTAATACATAGTGTGACACCCCGGGAGCCGTCTGTTGCTGGGACGCAGCCGGAAGGGACGGCCGGATGCGGCCGAGACGTCCCGCCGGCGCAGGTGCCGGGGATGCGGTCAGAGCAGATCTGAACAGCGACTAAATCGCATCGCTGCAGGCGAGCGATTATAACGAAGCCGACGCTGGGAACGCCGCCATCCAGCGGCGGCTGACACCGAATAAAACTGAAGAGAAACCGATAATGCATCGCATGCGATGAATCGTACGACGCATGTCCGAAACTATGGCAAGTCGCACTTGGGTGTGGTTATGCCGGATTAAAACTGGTAGAGCGTGCTGAACCAAGGCGTCCGACCTCGCATGAACTTATTTCCCCTCAGGTGGACTCCTTTTGGTCATAATTGTGGAGGTATAGGTCAATCCGAACCCACAAACAATACCTGACAGCGATTTTGTCACTGACGTAACAATAAAGAAAGCAAACCCAGCCAAGTCCTGTCGGAACTTCTTTATTGAGCCGTACATTCCGAAAACGAAATGGCAGCTTCCACATATGCGAGGAACACAGAATGAGCATTTACAGTAAGCAGCCACTGCTTTAATTGCGATCGGCCCACATCTGATGCAACGGATACTGGTGCAAGAGAAAATTGCAGTAGGCGCGCGCGATCACGCACAACCCTCACCGACGATATACCACCCCGTTATTCCCACTTCCCCAATTTCTTACACTCTATTGCCCCTCCCCCGTAATAAAGTCATGCGTCGTAATCAATTCCGTTCATCCTTTTTCTCGTTCATGACTTAAATGCAATAACTAGGTGTCTTAATTCTGGGAGAAAACGTACTTTGGACGGTGAAACATGGTAACCCATATCAGTGATCGATGTTGGTGTACCCTCACTCTCAATACACATGAACACCAAATCCCCTTAAAAGGGACGTGCTACTTAAGTTCAAAATAAACGCCCGAGTTCGACTGATATCAATTGACTGGCTGTAAGAATTGGTAGCGAAAGACCGTGGCGGCGAGCGCCGCGCCCACGACCGCAGGACATATATGGCCTTGCCCGGGTTCTAGGCCATTGGGACATCCCCTTAAATCGGCCTTCTGAAGCAAATTCTCATTGCTTGTGTACACCGCTCCTGACCAATCAAAACATGGTGGAAACTGGAGTCTCGGTCAGCTTGTATCTGATTGGTTGTAGAAGCGGCTGCCAAGCGTTTTTAACCACTTGCCGGCCTTGAGAACAAAAGGCCAAGACGGTGCGCAACATTCGTGCGAAGCAGGATTTGTGCATTGTGAATCCGAGCAGCTGACGTAAGAGGCGTATGATTGGGGTTGATCTTCGTGAAGAGCGAATTGGTGGTGGTGTTTTGGGCTGGTTATGAATCATAGCATGTGAATCGTGCGTGCAGACGGCCCGGTCATGGCTTTCAGTGTCACGAACTAGCGGTCATCTTATTGACAACTCGTTCAAGCGCCTGTAATTTGACTTTAGAAGGTGAGAAATGCATGCTCACGGGGTAGGCAGAATAGCTTACAAGCCTAATACGGTGCCTCGAATCTCAGCATGACTCCTTTGGGTCCATTTTCGGTACGTCCCCAAGCATGATGTAAGCATCCTGGTACTAAATGCCTTAAATGTTTTATCCCTTATAGATCATTAGTAAATATACTTGTTGTGATTTTGTCATGTTACTAACTACCCTTTTCCTTTCAAAGCGAAAGAACTGTGGGCAGTTTATACCAGCAGTTGATTTTTGTTTTGGGTGTTTTTAGTTTGAGCATATGAATATGAAGTCTGACTAAAAGGTGGGAAGTCTCATGTGAAAAAATTGGAAGATGAAATTCTGAGTTTTCAGGCTTCAAATCAAATTACCGAACATTTGTCATTTCTGGTATTTCTGCAGGCAGGAAATTTTTGATGGTGGAGATATATTTTTCTTGTTTGGGTACAACAATGCCAGCAAGCATCAATATCTCTCAGACACCAGTATGATTTATAGCTGCAGGCCTCTGCTGTATCACATAGCAATTCTCAAATCATGTGCAACTCATCCAATCATGGGTGACTCACTTCAAGAGGAACATGTGGTACTGTGTTTAAGTGTTGGGGAGGTAATTTATTTGGATAGGGGAACTCAAGTAAATTGTCAGTTTTGCTATGTAGGTAGATAAATTTCCATCATTTGCCTGGTAGGTAAATTTATTACATGTGCACCATTTTGCTGCTTAGTTTTTGTGCAGTAGAGAGATCAAGAGGAAGCATCCAGGGTGACCTGTGAGATAAGCTAATGTTGTAAGGACAGACCCATGGTTCTTTTTGGATATAAGTTTACCTGGAACCCTCTTAAGGAGATCTTAGAAGTTATTAAATTCACCAAGCAGTGGATGCATATTTCTTTGTATATCTATAGATATGATATGCAGGTGCTCACTGTCCTACATCAACATCTCTGTGTATGTCTACCATGGAAACTATGTGTACACAGGTGCAGATGGGGACCAGGGGCAACACAATATGCTGATGCTGGCATGTGTTTTTTTGTTTTGCTGCTGTCAGCAGACATATCTTATAATGCCCCTGGGTGTCTGTAAAATGTAAGCTACTGTGAATGCATAAATGAAATAGATACAAGATACTAGATGTGACCAAAGGTGCTTGGCTACTTTAAAATCCATTTAACAAGCTTTATGGCAGAAAGATCTTGCTGCGCTGGTCCAGACAATTGTGCTTGGTAGGACCATGGAAAGCACAGCATTGTATCCTGTTCAAAAAACTTTTAAGCACTAGTTAGGTCATTTGTTTGAATCCATCTGTACTCTCAGTGGCAAATATTTTCAACTAAACTAGCAGTTCTGATATGTACTAAAATCAGTTTAAACAAGCTCTGCTATCTTTGAATACCTGTTTATTTGAATAAGTGTGCTTACTCTGGTATTTGGATGTGTATCTAGAGTTATCTGGATGTGCCCAAAAATGCCAGGAAAGATGACAGCTACAATTGGTATGTGATCACAACAGCTGTATAGTTATGGGCACCATTCAGGCTTCCTGATCTGGCATGTCTGCAAATGAATGAAGTGCTGCCTCCAAGCATATCATTGTACTGAATCAACATGCACTGGATGGTTTTGTTAAACCATGGGGAGGGGCTTTTAAAGCAATTATTTGCATGGTGGACTAATGTTATACTGAGTGGGTTGGGGCAGTTTTATACATTTTTATGTTTTGTATATGCATGTCATTTCATGCTAGGTACATTTGTAAAGATTTTTGTGTCAAGAGTAAACTTGCAAACTAAAATTGACTTACTTAAACTTATTACCAAATTTTGCCTTTAATGGACAATTTCCTTGGTATGGTCATGATGTAAATGTTCCTGTTAACAGTGAGGAAGTGATGGGCATTCAATCAGCATGGTGATGCACCTTCAGTTATATTTACTGATGCCTTGAGACTGTGTATGCCATAAGCCCAAATGGCAACAACGACAGCAGCAACTCTACACACATTATTGTTACACAAAGTGTCTCCACTCTGCAATTTTACTGACCCACAGCCTGCGTTGTGAATGAAACTCTCAGTCTCTGCTTCTTATCTATGGTCACCCTGTTACATGTCACAAACACATCCTCACCATGTGTTTGGATGTGTTTGAGTGCACATGTTATGCATTGAGTGAGTTTTCATGCTGTCAGGTACTCTGTTTGCTGGCTGGGTGTGTCTGCGTGGACCGACCCGTCACCTCGTGACGCGGCAGGTGGCGATGCACAGCGTGCTGGAGATGCCGCCCTCCTCGGAGCCGGCGCGCAAGCGGCGCACCCTGCCGCGCTTCTCACTGCAGCGGCTCATCTTCGGCTCGCCGCGCAAAACGGAAGAGCAGTCGCTCGGCCTCCCGCTCCAGCGCAAACGGTTAGTCCGTGATCTGCCGTTTCAGTGGCACCGATTGGTCCGCGACCCTCCTGCTCCAGAGCCACCGGGGGTGCCCGAGGCCTCCTGCCCCAGAGCCACCGGGGGTATCTGTGATCTCCAGCTCCAGCGTCACTGGTCAGTCTGCGGCCTCCCGCTTTAGCGCCACTGGCTAATCTGAGGGCTCCCGCTTTAGCGCCACTGGCTAATCTGAGGGCTCCCGCTCCAGCGCCACCAGGGGTGTTCGCAGCCGCTCGCTCCAGCGCCACGGGGAGTGTCCGCGCTCAGTCTGTGGCTGCGGGCTCTTGTGGCACCTGTTAGTATGGGCGTTTGCCGGCCGCCCTGGCGCTCAAAGGCGGCGTGTGAGCGAGCAGCTTGAGCTTGGCCAGTGGTGGATTGGGGTTGAGGCCCTGCCTCTGCAGACGGATGCATGGACGGTGTCGGGCATTCGTCGGGGTTATCTCACGGGAGTTGTCGAAGATTTGCCGGGCCTTGATGATCATGTTTTGGCCTTTCTGGTGTATTGGTATCTGTTATGGAATTAAGTAAGGCCCTGACCCATGTGTATGTGATACTTTGGGAAGTATAAGCCCGAGTGAGTTAGCGGTGGGGAACTAATGAACTTTCCGCCCGGACGGAAGGTCGGCGGCCATCCCTGTGGGTAGATAAAGGGCCGCAGAGTTTTATCGTGACGGGACTTTGCGACGTCACAGTATGCTGTGGCCCGTTGTCTGTCCGGATCGCCCCTCCCCGCTGGTCCGGCCTTGGCGTGCGCTGATGGCCTTCGTATGACCTCAGGTGGGGTCAAGTTCCACTGTCGTGAGGTATTGACTGCGCCGTTCAGTGAGTGGGCGCGTATCGCGCTGCGGAGCGCTGCATCTGCCGGCGGCGCGCGGCCGCGCTCGCGCCGCCTGACCGAGCCGTGTATCTCTGCGCGTCGGCAGGAGGCCAGCAGGAGCGGGTGATCTCGCTGGAGAGCCTGGCGGTCGCCGGACCGTCGCACCTGGACGCCGTGGACGCGGTCAGTGCCGGCGAGGTCCGCCCCGCCCCCATCCCACGGCCTCCTGCACCCTGTCGTCGAGTGTCGGAAGGGCTGATTTGATCGGGCGCTGACTGG